CACACACACACACACACACACACACACACACACACACACACTCCTGTGGGATGTTGCATCTGCCCTACCCTCTCAGTGTTCACGAGCTGCCTGGTATCTTGAGGTATGTAGAAAAAACTTTTATATCTCTGAATCGTTGAATCTTTCCAAATCTCTCCAAATTGATTCAGAGAGTTCGGATTCAATTCGGTGAGATTAAACGGTCTCCTGATGTGATTTGGATTCAGAGATTTGGCCACTGAATTGGGCTGAATCTCCGCCAAAACAAATCAGCGACCAAAACTTCATACTGCCCTTCACACATGCTCTTAAATGCTCAGTAGACTATTTTACCTCACATTAAAGTGTCATGTAAAAAACCAGTGGCATTACGCTAATGTGCAGTAAAATAGTCTAGTGCATATTAAGTATTACAGAAAAAACATGCAGATGTACCACTGTTCATTAACTCAGCCTAATGCATATTAATTTAGTACCTCACATTGGAGATACTAAATTTAATGCACATTAGAAAAGGAGCATAAATGCATGAATGCACACCTACTAGGAATTACCAAATGCTAAACAAAACATTTGGATTTTGAAGATGGGGATAGAAACCTGTCAATACACTCAAATAATCAATTAACACAAATATAAAATGTTCATGTTTTAAAAGGCCAGGTTGCAGATTTCCCTATCCAAACCTATCTCTGTGGGTTTTATGTCTGCATCATATTCAAAAGTGTAAGATGATTATCTAGCTCTGCCTGAGATGCTGTTAAGAGTTCAGTGTGAGATAGCAAGAACTGAAGAACTGAACTTGCAAAAGTCCACCAGCATTTGGGAAGCAAATCAAGGCAGAGCATCTTGTAGAATTGCTAACTATCTGAAATGAAACCAAAGCAAGGCTTTCATCTTAATCAGAAATTTGACTGAGCATAATCAATTTCTTTGATGAAGCATAACTAGCCTTACATGACTGCCACTGATCTGAATTGGTTAACAGCAGCTCTTTAAGTTTATAGAAAGATCTTTATAGAAAGATTATATATATATATAATTCTTACCCAATTAAATACTGAAAATGCATACACACACAAGCAAACCAAAATAAATAAATAAATATATAAATTTACAAAAATTAAATGCTCTGAGGGAACACTCTGTGCCCAGCAAGAAGAGGCCACAGGAAGCCACAATAAACATCCTTCTGTTCTCAGCCAACCCAGACATATAACTTCAGCTTCCAGGGCTACTGGCCTACTCAGTGCTTGGGCCTCCATAGCCCTGGTGGCCTCAAAATTAAAAAAAACCGAAACAAAACATTTGATAACATTGAGTCACCATTCCCACTCAGGCACTCCCAGTGCTCCAATTCAAGCACAGGCCTAGAATCTGTCGCTTTGCGTGGCATGCCGAAGCCCAAAAGGTCTCAGCACGCCATGCCATACCCTGCATCTTTCAGCCCCGGAGCCCTGGCACTGGTCAGATGGGCTCTGGAGCCCCACGGAGATTGCCGCGTCTCTGGGAGTATAAAAAGTTTCTCCTGACAACTGGGGCCCACACCAAGCCTTGGGCTCAAAACCATCTCATCAGTAATTTGGCACCCAAACCCCTCAGGGACAGGGGAAGTCAAGTACCTGCCCTTTTCTATCCACAGTGCCCAGAACAGCACCACACACACAAAATACACATGCACAGCAAATAAAAAAATAATTACAATTAAAAAAAAATAAAAATAAATTAAATCCCCTGAGGGAGCCCCCTGTACTCAGCAAGAAGTAGCTACAGGCAGCCACATAGAGCCCCCTTTTCCTGGCCACCCTGATGCTGTCTCAGACATACAATGCCAGCCTCCAGAGCTGCTGGCTTCCTCAGTTCTCAGGCTTCAATGCTCTCAGCTACCCCAGAATTAAAAAAGAAAAAAAGCTGGCCATACCATGCCACCCTTCCCACTCAAGACACTTCCAGTGCTCCAATGCAAGCATGGGTCTAGAATCTGGTATTTGGCATGGTATGTTGAACCACAAAGGGTTTTGCCATGCCATGGCAAGCCCTGCATCTTTCAGCCCTGAGGCCCCGGCACTGGTCGGATGGGCTCTGGAGCCCATTGGAGTTTGCTATGTCTCGGGGGAAAAAAAAATCTTCTCTTGCTGCCTGGGGCCCCACTTCCTAGCAGAGTGTAAGGAACCCACACCAAGCCTTAAACTCACAAGTAAAACATCATTACTTTGGCACTCAAACCCCTCAACCACAGAGGAAAGCCAGTACCTACCCCTTCCCACCCTTAGTGCCCATAACAACACCACACATACAAACATACACATGCACACCTCAACAATTTTGGGTGCCCCAAAATTAAAACATAAAAACCCCATTTTTGACGCAGCATGTCAGACAAATCTGAGTCACCCGTCCCACTCAGACACTCCCTGTGCTCTGATTCAAACACGGGCCCATATCTGTGCTGCTGCTATTTGCCCCTGGGCATGTCTCTGCTTACATGCTCTGGGGTACAGCAAAGAGAGCCATGAGGGCTAGGGAAGGCTGAGGCAGCACCTGTTCTGGCCCTAGCTGGCTTATCTGGAGTTCTGGGGGGCTCCTGAGGTAGCTGCAGTCCTGAGCAAGCTGGTCAGAGCCTGGCTATCAGCCATTGTCTGACTCTGGACAGACAGGCTTCTGTTTCCTGCGGTGCACACTGCTGCCACATTTACACCACTGTTTTTTTCAGTGGTGGGTTGTTGTTTTTTTTAAACCAGGATCTCCCAGCATCAAAATCCTCCCACTGTGCTGCAGATTAGCAGTGTGGTGAACCAATTCACATGTACTGTGTGTGGTTTGCAGCCCCTCAAACAGGTTTGAGGGGCTGCAAACTCCACACATGCGCTCATCAGGAAGTGCCCAAGGACATGGTTGGCTGATTTGATGGGTAGATCCCTGGGCCAGCTGCCATTTTCACAGGCTGAGCATGGCAGGCCCCTCCCCCATGCCTCTGATTTGCCAAGGGGTCCCAGCAGTCCTGCCCCTCCTCGCAGATTGTGAGATGGCCCAAAACCCTGGCTTAATTACCTAAAGCCCAGGAAGCCATTAATCCATGCTTAATAATACGTGGATTAATGACTTCCCTGGGCTTTACCAGGGTTATTAAGCCATGGTTTTGGGCCATCCCCAACCTGGACCATGGTTCTGGGTTGGCTATGGCAAGCAACTGGAAGGCTGCAAGTAACTGCACCTGGGTTTGCAGAACCCCAGCATAGATAGTTGCTGACAGTGGGTACATGCATACAATGTTGGGGCTCCACAGACCCTGGTGAAGCTGCTTGCATCCTTCCAGTGGCATGCCACAGTCAGCCTGGACCCAGGTTCAGCTGCTTCTGCCACCTCTCCATCATCCACCCTCTCATCCCCTCCCTCCCTCCATTCCAAGACTGCAGGGCTTCCCAGCCTTTTCTCTGCTTGCAGGTAAGTTGTTTTTTGGGGGTTTTCTTGTTGTTTTGTTTTGGGGGTTTTTTGCAGTGAGCCCACCATTTTTCACAGAGCCTGCTGTTTTTGGTGGAGTCCATGAAGCCTGCCCAAATTTGCAGTTTCTGTGAAAATCATACAATTGCATATTTGGTAGGTCCCTACATATATGACACCTTTGTATAATGTAGACATAACTTAGATCTCTTTTTGGATAAAACCCTTATTGTCCTTAGGCACCTTATCTCCAACAATAAAACACTTCTCTATCTCAGGAGGTTGATGCCAAGATAAGTTCATTACTATTTATAGAGAATTTACAAGCTGCAGTGATGGGCAGATAGAGGATGATAACCAAGTTTATAGCTAGCTGCTAATTGATTTTCCTTCAATCAACAGTTTTAATAGCAGAAGGCTTGAATACCCTAGGAATGTGTGCAAGTCTACAGATATAGGAACAAGATAAGCAAAACCA